CATTTCCCTATAGAATGAAGTCTAAACTCTGCTACAGATTTTGGTGCTTAACCATCCAGCCCAACCTTACTGGCTTTGTCTTCTAACGGCTGCCACAAGGCATCCAGTCACCTCAAGCTTCATTTTTTTTTTTCCATTGCAAAAGTACATGTTTTCGTCTTTCTTTCAACATTTATTAAACACCTACTATTTACCAAGCCCTATTCTAGGCACATCACTGTTTTCTTTGCTTGCAATCTCTTCTCCTCCCTCCCTCAACCCCTAACACTGGTATGTATTCTTCCTTAAAGATCCAACCCAACTATCTTCTCCTTCATGAAAAGTTTTTGTGAAACTTTCTCCAGTTTCCTCGTGTAAACCTTTATTATACTATGTTGAAACTGCTGATTTACCAGTTGCCCATACACAAGAAAGGTGACATTTAAGAGTAGTGATTAGGAATTCCGGATCCAGCTTCCTGGCTTTGAAATCCCAGTCCTGTCTCCCCTAAGTGGGAAGACAGACATGAAAAGTGACATTGCTGGGGAGTATAATTACTGAGAGGTGAAGTTCTTGGGTTTGATCCTCACACAGACCAGAAGTACTACTATGTTCTAGAATCACAGACGAGACCCCCATCTCAAAAACTTTTTAAGTACCAAACAGTTAGTGGATATCTGGACAGGTTTTAAAAAATTTCATCATTGAAAATGTTAGGAGACTTATTAAGTACCTATTAATGTTCAGAATTCTGTAGGTGCTAATTTTCTAAGTGACTGATGCGAAAAATGAAACTTATTACATAACTTATTCAAAGTCACACAGACAGTGATGAACACAGTCAGAATCTGATCCTGGGTCAATCTGATTCCCAAGATCATGTTCTTTTCATTTGAGCACTTTATGGCACAATGCCTCACCATTGTTGAGGACGTTCCTGATTTAGGCAATAATTTGTCAAGGAAAAAAAAATAGACCTCTTCTTCAAACACCCTTGATTGGCGCTGCCAGTGTGCTCTTCTCCCTGGCAAATCTAAATAGGAAACATGACATGATCTTTGGCAGTAATTAGCTGATGATGTAGACACGATATTATCTTCCTCCATGGTTTCATGCCTTAGGAGCTCAATCTTCCAGTTTTCTTGCTAATCTCAGACCAGTAGTCATTTACACAGTCAATTCACTGGCAATTAGCATTTTGTTCATGAACTTGATTTGTTGCATGAACTTTAGTTTGAGCTGGAAAAAGCTGATGAAGAACAACCGATGTGGCCAATAAGATCATCAAGACACATTAAGCCATCAAAGAAAATTAATGATAAAGAAGATGGATCTGATTACATTAGAATCTAATATCAAAAGATTCAACTGTTATTTAAGTTCAAATGATAAATAGAAGTCCATAATAAACCCACAGGTGCTGACGAAAGGAGGATGATACTGGTGAGGAAGGCCTGAAAGGGGAACACACATGGGCAGTGCTGCAAAAGAGGCTTGGAGAGAAAGTAATATTTTCTGAAGGACTTGGAGAAAAAGAAAACTGAGGGTCTGAAGAGCCACATTCTTCTTAGCGCACACCTTGGTAACCCACTATAAAGTCATGGACAGAGATAGTCTGAGATGTGGAGGCTTGGGAAATAAAACTCACAGGGTAGTATAACATAGATGGTCACCCTTTCATTTGAGTAAGTGCAAGATATTACTTATTTTAATTGCCACTACTGAGTATTAACAAAATGCTAAGGTCTTCTTGGAACATTATAATATTGAAAATATTTAAAATGCCAGGATTGGTAACCTAATCATTATACATTCGTTATATAGTCAAGAAACAAATGGGAGTTGGTTCTAAGTGCATGTTGAAATTGCATTTTGTCTGAGAAGATATAATAGTAGCTAGGGCCTGAATGAATAGTTAATGTTATTTCTTTTTAAGCTAAAATAGTATGTTAAGATAGACTAACTGCTGTAACCAACAAGCCTCAAATCTCAGTGACTTATCCCGGTAAAGATTCATTTCTCACTCAAATCACACTGAGATTTAGTGAGGTGTGTATATGTGAATGTGTCTTACATGGAAGGTCTGCTTCATGCAGTCATCCAAGAACCTAGGATCTACCCATTTAGTGGTTCCAAAGTCTTATAGGGCCTCAGAGTCCTCTGTGGTATGCTCTGCAGCCAGCCAGCAGAGAGAATTAAAAAATATGCAGGATTGTGGAGAGGTTTTAGAAGCCAGCCTATGCAAGGTCCCCATCACTTCCATCCACAATCCAACGCACCATCCATCTAACTGCAAGGAAGCTGGTAAGTGCTGTCTAGTTGTATGTCCAGAATGAAAAGAAGGAACATAGATATTGGTGATCACGACCATTTCCTCCCAGAAAGTAGGTAATGAAGTCTCATTTCAATGACAAAATAGCTGTATGAAATATAGGAGTATAAAAATATCAGAATTCTAATGAACATTACCATATTAGAATTTACATTCAAATGAGTGATGTCTCCTTGCCAGTAGTCACTTGGAAACCTATATGCTTATGGAAACAACCAATGCCTACCGTTTTTTTTCTAGCTCTTTTTTTGATATTGTCTCTGGAGCATGTGTTGGTTCTTTTAAATAGTCCCAACATATCTCATCCTTTGAGGATCAGTTTGAGAGAGATTATAAAATGTAAATTAGAGCCAACTCTGGTGAATGAAGAGTATAATCTACCTGAGTTAATATGTTTGGTCAGAAAAGATGATTAAACAATGAGGCTATTTTCTCATGGGACTACATAAGGTAATTCCAAAATAAACATTATAAGAATGTTTTGAGTAATACCATCATTTTTGGAATAAATTGAATTGTATTTCTTAACATGTAATGTAAATGTAATGTCATGTAATGTCATGTAAATTTGGAGGAAAGTGTCTGCAATTTGGATCTATGAATCTTCAGACTATTAGAACCACATAGGAGAACAGGAGGCTGGGTAGACAGAAGATGGAGAGGTAGATAGCACTGTAATAAGTGGAAACTCTTCCTCTGTGCCATAATGCATGCAAGGTCGGGTCCTGTCTTCTCAATTTTCTTACACTTACTTTTCCCAGCAATCCAGAAGACTGCCTGCAAGCACAGAATATCAACTCAAATAGCCTCATCTTTTGAAGAGACCCAATCATTTATTACCTTTTATTAGTTCAGTTTTCTAAAAACACTCCTTCCTTGGGGGAAATTTTTAATTGAAGACATGACATTTTTCTTCAAAATCATACTGCATACAATGTGCCAAGTTACATGACTTGGTAATTTGTAAGGTTAAAACATTTGATGATTCATATAGCTAAATCTCCTAAATGTTGAGCATTTTTAAAGATCTATTGAAATAATGAATGGGAACACAATTTCTAAAAGTTATGAAACAACAACAATAAAAAGTTTTACAATGTCAGGTGCTTTTCAAGTAACAAAAAAAGGTTTTTATCTGAAGGATCCCCTCACTGGGGAGATGAGCACCTTTACTAAGTGTTAGAGGGAATGAGTGCAGATAAAACCTTCTGGAAGGCAATCTGGCAATGCATGCAAAAAATGGGCAGACTTTTTGACCCATTTTTAACAATAATTAACAATTTTGACCCATAATTAACAATTACACTTTAGAAATTTACCAAAGCAATCATTGGACAAGTGTTTAAAACTTTGGCTAAATGGGAATGCATTTGCAGCCTGATGACAGTGAAAATGTAAAATAAATAAACAAAAAGCCCTAAAGACATATTAATATGGCATTGTTAAATATAATATGGTACACTCACTCAATGAAATATTATTCAGTGGTAAAAAGGACACAATTATTGATCCTAAAGATCAATATGCCATGTATACGTATGTGAAAAAGCAATTACAAACTAGAATGCATATTCCATTTTATATTTTACACTTTATGGGGGAAAGAATGTATAATAAATGTCATTATACAAGAATGTATAATAAATGTCATTAGTGGTTAATATCTCAATGGTGGGATTTTGGATTTTTCTTTCTTTTTTAAAACTTGTTTGTATTTTTCTCATTTTTTTCCCCCAATGAGCATATAGTCATAAAAGATATATATTAGGAATAGCATTGTATAATGTGCATTCTGGAGCCATATTGCCTGGGTTTGAATCTCAATTTTTCCTTTTAAATAAGTTTGACACTGGGCATATTACTTATCCTTTCTGTATTTCTGGTTCGCCACCTATAAAAATGCAGGTGATTATATATCTACCTCATCAGATTATAATGAGGATTAGATGTGGTAATACACCCAGGTAATTTAGTATATGCACATAGTAAACTACATAAATAGTTATTCGGTAATTACAAAAACAATGAAGATGTTTCCATTTTGAGAAAAGTGCTACTCACTATTTTAACTTTTCATATGCAAATTAGCAAAGAAGGAAAGATATTGTCATAGATATTAACAGTATTAAATTAGGCCCACAAAAAGCAATACAATTGAAAGAAAAGCAACTCTCTATTTTCCAACTTAGTGCATGAGGCAGTCAAATATACAGGTTCTCAAGGCAGACTAGAACTGGTTTCAAACCTGACAGTCATCATCATAGCTCTGACTCCTTCCAAGTCATTCAACCTTCTGTGCCTCAAATTTCTCAACTATAAAATGAAGACAATATAAGCCATCGGAGATCATATATAGGGCTAGTCTGTAGATTAATTAAAATAACCCATGTGAAGTGTTTATTAGCAAGCACTCTATAAAGCTTAGCTGCTACTATCATTATCATTATTTTTAATTAATGTCCTTTAAAATAAGTCTTAGACTGGAACGGGTTCACAGAGGCTACAACTCCAACACTGGACAAACTGCCAAAGTGGGATCAACAAGATCATAAAAAGGAAAAAAAAAAAAAAAAGCAAATATCTGGTCAGACAGATGTTGCATAGTGATAGGTGCTGAGATATCACATAGCAGGGATTCCAGCTCAGGCATAAAACTTGAGGAGACACTTAATTAAAAAGACTCTAAAAATGACAACACAAAGGAGAACCACCATTTTATTCACGCAGTACCCTGTGTGGTTGGTATTGTTATCTCCATTTTACAAAGGAAGAAGCAAATTCAGAACAGATAAATGCCATGTTCAAACTTGGGAGAGGAGGGGGAAGAGGGGAGGTGGGGCACAAATTTAGGCCAAACCTTAATAAATGGAAAGAAAATGATCATGGATGGGAATGCTTAATATTGTTAAAATGGCAATACTACCCAAACTGATCTACAGATTACATGGAATCCCTATCAAAATACCACCTGATTTTTTTGCAGAAATTGACAAGCTGATCCTAAAATTTATATGGACATGCAAGAGACCTAGAACAGTCAAAACAATCTGACTTACTATTTTTCCAGTAGTTCTGGAGCAGCTACCATACACAGGCAGGCTAGATAAGACAGGAACTCCCTTAGTAAAATGAGGTACTAGGTGGTGATAACATAGCCCAAGTACCAGATCCAGAGTTCGAGTTCAGATGGCTGAGTCTCCAAACTAGGTGTCCCCCTACATCACTGAAATGGTCCAAGCCTAGACTGAGAACTCATGTAGAGACTATTCCAGCTGAGGGGGATGAGAGAAATGGGGGGAAGAGAATGAAAGAAGCTAGACCCGTTCCCTGCTCTCTTCATAGATCTTTCTAATACATGTGCAACATCACAATAAACGAGACTTTTACTCTTGTGCAACTCCATTCCAAAAGCGTGTATGTTATACTTTAAAGGCAACTTCTACATTTTCTTTTTCTTTTCAGAAAGAGAAAACATAAAGAGCATACACATCCCAGAGTGTGACTAGAGTAGGGAGGCTGTGATAGGGAGGTGGGCTCTAACAGCAGAGTTCTGTCTACTGCTCTTTCATTTCCACTTTCTGTTAGGCTCCCAACTGGCCACTTGAATTTGCAGACATTTTCAATAATGTGCAAACCCCTCCCATCCAACCCCCAACGACCAATAGAGGGCAGGCTATCTCTACTTCCAGACCTCCATCAGAAAGAAGTATATTCTAATTCCCTTTCCTTTCCTACCTGTAGGATTTTTTTTTTTTCCTTCCTAGTTCGGAAAACTCTCTTCTGCCTCAACTATCCTTTTAAGTGCTTATTTTAGAAGCATTTACTAAAACCAAAAGAGAAGGCCACAGACAAGAATGTTCAAAATAACTTTTGGTCTGTAATTTCCCTCTCTCTCATTTTCAATTCACTCACGCATGCATGCATTCTTATAAATCATGACCCTCCAATGAGCTGTCAATCCAAGTTCAGAGCTATCTAGAGAAAGATTTATAACATAACATAATAAATGCCACAAGCAGAGGTACTTATAAAACGTTATAGGATAGATAAGGGAAATAAGGGAATAAGCTCAAGATACTTCCCAGAGGAGGAAGCATTAAACCATGTTCCATGTGTGATTCTTACATTTCTACATGTCTTTCAGGGTCTATGTAATCCCTCCCAGTTCACTTTTTTTCTTTGACTCGCAATTGCCACCATGTTGGGCCCACTCAGCTTCTCTTCTGTATGCTTAGTCTGGTCTCTAAAAGATGAGGAAATCCTGTGTTTGAGCATCAATCTCATCCTCTTGGCTTCTGGCCACTTTGTAGCACCTCCTGGATCTGAGGAAGAAACAGCTATTTTGTAACTGAGCTTCTGGTTCACACTCTGGTTTCTGAGAAACTGTCAGGCCCTTGCAGATTTCTTATTTGCCACTAGTTACAGGTTTCAAGTAACTTTTCTTGTTTTCTCCTTTGCTTCTCTATTAATTCTATGGCAAAGGACCACTTGTAACTTAAAATTTCTGAGTTGATATATCCATCTTAAGTCTTAAGACTCGCTACAGTCCTTTCTAAGTCAGGCTTGAATTCCCATGAGAGTCAGCCTTTATCTACCTTCCAGATGGTTCTGGTGACCTCTATATTGTCCATTGCCTGTATTCAATCTCTAGCTTTCCCTAACCCTTGATACAGTGTCTTTAAAAAAGAAAATAAAAAACACAAACAAAAAAGCAAGAACTTGACAATGATTATGACACTTTTTCAAACAAAAGTGGCTCTGTACATTCTTCTATCACCTGACCTTGGCTTTTCCTGTTGAGTCCTACAATGTTATCTGCTACATTTTAATAATGTCTTTATACTGGCATTTGAATAGAAATATAGATAACCTCCTCTGCAAGAGTGGAAAGAGCCTTTTAACACAGCACAATGATGACAGTTTGTTGGCAAATCTCACAGTGAAGAGCTGCTGCCTAGTTGGGGTACAAGAAACACTCATGTTAAACAGCACTGCGTGGCATTAATTTTTGAATTTTGCTAATAAAAAACCTAGCACATTTTAAATGATTTTACCACTTAATATTTACAATTATACCTTAGGACATGAGGTCCTTTGGAGATCATCTAAATTTGATCTCCTACACAACTGCAGGAATTGTCTGTACAACATCCCTGGAAACTAGTCATCCCAACAGCTCTAGAAGGGCTTACCTTCTAGAAAATGGGAGGCTCACTCCCACTTTTCCAATTGTGAACATCTTCTCTTATTACCCTCTGATAATCAGTGCTCATTAATGAGCCTCTTCATTTCCTCAGGACAAAGAAATATGATTGGAGAAATGTTAGTTTTCTGATGCCAGTGACTGGGGAATATTCCACTGGTAACTTTGGCTTTTCCGTTCAGGATTATAGTTAAACCAAAATATTTATAATAAGTATAAATTTGTTCCGCAAACAGAAGATTTCAAAGGCATCTTTGTTTCCTTTCTCCTTACACTGCCATGCTATTAACTTTTGGTTCATTAGTCACGATTTTCAGGATCCACTTGGCTGCCACATTCCTGCAATCCGACCATTTTGGATCAGAATGCCCCCTGGCCATTCCCACTTCACATTTGCCCCTGGACCGGATTTTTTTTTTTTTTTTTCCCCACACTGATCCAAGTTACTTCTTGTTAATTCTCCAATTTTATTGACTCTGGTACATATCCTGTGAATGCTGGGCCACTACAGAGCCTCTACTGACAACCACAGAAGGGAAACAGTCTCCACGCGACGCATTTTGCATCACTTCTGTTGCTTTTTTAAAATCCTAGTTTATCACAAAAAATGTTAACCATGCATCTTCTTTATTAATATTCGTAATAAATGAAAAAACTAAAACCCACCACTTTCGTCCATGAGCTTGGGAAAGAAAAGGGCAATTTCAGATGACATTTATGATGCATGAGATATACGGATCTAGTCATGTTAAGACTTGTGATAATCCAGTGTTCGGCTTTACTCAAGGGAAAAAAATTCAGCTGTTACTTTCCATTCACTCCCCACCCCATTCCATAATATAGCACCTCGACGCAGACAGCACAGCGACAAAACATACAGGATGTGGACAGTTAAAATTCAACTCAAGCTACAGCAGCCCCCAACAGTCCTCCCCACCCGCCGCGGAATATTTACCTAGACCGTTTAAAAGCACTTAATTAATTCACCAGCAGCTTTGCTGGAGGCGTCTCGAGCTTCCCGAGACTCCATTACATAATATCTTTTATAAAGTCTATTCCCAGCTCGGGTGGAAGATGGATTCTCATCCAGTTTGCGGAGGTTCCATGCATGCTTCCCTTTCCCGCGGTTCGATCCGGCGGGGGCCCCAGCCCAGACTGCAGCGATCCCCTCGGCCCCGAGCTTCGGGGGTA